AACGCAGGCGAAAACCCAATTCCCGGGAATCCTGTGTAAAAAAACCGTACGCGGGGGGGGGGGGTCGAATATTCCCTGGACGCCATCAGGGGAAGAGGGAGAGGTTAGTATTCATATTGAGTAATTGTGGAGGGGAGGAGGAGGGGGAGGAGGAGGAGGAGGAGGAGGAGCAGCAGGAGGAGGAGGGGGAGGAGGAGGAGGGGGAGGAGGAGAGGGAGGAGGAGGACCAGAGCAAACCCAAGATGAAGAAACCATGCTGCAGCGCGCCTTCCCATCTCATGCCCCTTCCTCGCAAGGTCCCTAAGAGCCCGTCTCAAGTCTCCTCCTCTTAGGTCACTGCAATCCTTCGAACTACTCGTCTTAAGCCACTTCCACCTCAAGAAATACACTTTTGAACTACCATCTAGGCCCATTAAGGCGAGAGCACCGTTCTGAAAAGGAACTGACTACCCCACACCTTACTGGCGAGCAGTAAGGAGAGCGTAAAAAGAGACTGCACGGAGATATCGTACGAGATCCCTGTGTTGGTACGGGGAGCGTGGAAGAAAATGCATAGAAGAAGCTTCAAGCGAAGACCAGATCTGCCCCTTTCGAAAGAAGGGTGCCGCTCGCACCCCCTGTGCGAGCGGCAGGCTTTCAGGGTTACGTCGGGCGTGTCCTCCTCCAGGGGGAATTTTGGGCGACAAGTAGAAAATCCCCCAAACATATCCAAAAGTGTTCAAACATACCCCCAAAATGGCCCAAAATGTCTCCCGACGATTGTTCTTCCTACTGTAGAGGGACAGGCCCGATTGAAATGTTAGGACCGAGGCGCACAGCGCCACGGCGGAATTTCGGGTTGGGGGGGGGGTGCGGGTTCCATATGTGTTTTTTTGCAAGGTTCCCCGATCCCCCCCCCACTCGAAATGGAGGGCAAATTGAGGCCTTCGGGTTGGGTTGGGGTGGTTTGGTGGGTGGTGACTTTCCGCGCAGAGATCGGCTGCAGGTGCGCTCGCTTTGCCGGTTCTCCATGCAGTGACGAATTGAGAACCAAACACTGCAGTGACCCCGGACTCGGGTTAAAACAACCGGTGCGATTAACAATCGCTTTTGCAAACCACACTGCTCAACTCCGCTTCTCCTCAATCCTCGAAACTGCTACAGACTTTGAGAACGAATGCGAATGGCGATGGAACCAACGTTCCGCTCTGAAGGCGCCCCCCAACAAAACAAAATCCGTGAAATGATTGTAAGCGGCGAAAACGAATGCGCGCGGCGCTAAAGCGAGAACGCTATTTTAAAAGCGCCCCCTCCACCTGTGAAACGGTTGCAAATTGCAGGCTCCAAAATCAAAGATAAAGGCAAGGAGTGCAAGGCGAAACGCACGACCCGCCCTGCTGAAACGTCTGGGGGTGCGACAGGGAGGAGCTACTTATGAAGGAGAAGAACGGAAGAGAAGAACGATGATGACCGACAGCACCGATGGCTAACGGGGCTAGCTCTACTGCCCCGTGTCTCCCATCCACTTATCCTCGTTTACCTAGGTCAGAAGCGGCTGCATGCAACTACAGTCCACAGTACAGCATCCGACCATCCGACCTAGGAGGTGGAGCAGGAAGAGGAGGAGGAGGAGGAGGAGTAGGAGGAGCACGGGGAGGCGATGGAGAAGGAGGTGAAAGTGTGCAACACCTCCGCGGGTGGAGAGTGGATCCTTCCCAAAACGAGGCCGTCGCTCGACATCTCCGTGAAATACATCGCTCTGCTTTGCCTGCGCTTCTTCCAGCTGGAGGGATGGCGGGCGAACTCTCCTTCTCTTCCTCCTCTTCCTCCTCGTCCACCTCCTACTAATCCTCCTCTTCCTTTTTCTCCTTCTCCTCCTCCTCCTCCTCCTCCTCTTCCTCTGCCTCCTCCTCCTCCTCCTGTCCTCCTCCTCCTGTCCTCCTCCTCCTCCTCCTCCTCCTCCTCCTCCTCCTCCTCCTCCTCCTCCTCCCCTGCCTCCTCCTCCTCCGACCGAACTGAGCCCCACCTGCCCAGCAGGCCTGCTGGGCGCTCGTTGCTGAAGGGGGGCGCTTGGCTCAGGTCGGGCATGCCCTCCCACAGGCGGCTTTCGGAAGGAAAACCAAAACGTACGGTGAGGGCATTGGATTTAACAAACTATTGGATAAGGAACCCATGCATAGGGGAAAAACAGTGACATAAACATAAAAACTCGCGGAGGTCCGCGCGGATTTCTCGGATCGGCGCTGGGGCCCCCCGGCGGCGCCTCCGGCGCCGCCCCTGGCGCGCTCCGCGCGCCAGGGAGGGGGGTCCAGCGCCGATCCGAGAAATCCGCGTTGACCTCCGAGTTGTTATATTTATGTCACTTTTTGTTCCCCTAATGCAGGGTCTGGAAGCCGGTGGAACTCCAATCGTGCATTTGCCATGGATAGCACCGCCACCCTCACCAGATCAAGAGTCCCCCAGGGTCTGCAGCCTCCTGGGACCATTCCCTAAATAACGCCCAGGCCGCAGTCCAAGAAGCATCCCAAAGTAATCCAAAAGAGCACGGGAGATCGTCCCCAGACTATGTTTCGACTATTTTCGACGATCCCTCTGCAGAGGGACTTGCCCGACTTCGCGCTTGCCGCAGTGGAAGAGATTACTCGCATGGACTGATGAGGAGGCGGCTGCCTGGGCCCCCTCCCCATGAAGAGACGACACCGCAGACCCGTCCACACCCCCTGGAGCGCCCAGACGATCCCCCACCTCCCTCCTCCATCTGCCATCCTCCTGGAGGGAGGGGGCCCAACAATGGGCCACGAAAACGGCGGGGCCGTTTCACTCACCGTTTCCGAAAAAGTGTCTCTTGAACATGGAAACGGCAAAACAACGGCGACCAGAAACGGCAAAAAACGGCTCAAGGATTGGAACTGGAGCCGGAGCCGGTATAACTACGGGGACGGAAGTGGTAAAACATGGGCGTCGGAACCGGCATCAAAATGGCAAAACGGAACCGGTAACAAACAACGGCCCTGTCGTTTCCAGGGCCCACGAATGTGCCGAAGATGACTCAATACATCATCCCGTCCCGAAGCCCCTTCGCGTAGATGCACGCGCACCGTTTTTTGCTCGCGTTGCGCTCCCTTGAAAGACAGCGCCCCAATGGAACTACAATTCGTGCGGGACCTTCGTTCTGACACGTTAATGCCCTCCGTCCTTCGAGTTGTTATAAGAGATGCCGGGGAGGAGGAGGAGGAGGAGGAGGAGGAGGAGGAGGAGGAGGAGGAGGAGGAGGAGAGGAGGGAGGAGGGAGGAGGAGGAGCAGGAGGAGGGAGGAGGAGAGGAGGAGGAGGAGAGGGGGAGGAGGAGGGAGGAGGGAGGAGGAGGAGGAGGAGGAGGAGGAGGAGGAGGAGGAGGAGGAGGAGGAGGAGGAGGAGGAGGAGGAGGAGGAGGAGGAGGAGGAGGAGGAGGAGGAGGAGGAGGAGGAGGAGGAGGGAGGAGCAGGAGGAGCAGGAGGAGCAGGAGGAGGGAGGAGGAGGAGCCCTGCCTGGCCTGGCTCCGCCGCGCCTGGCCCTCGCGGGCATACTGGAACACAGAGAGAAGAGAAGTGTCCCGCGAACGCCCCGCTTTGAGACGACGCCCTCCGAACCCCAGGGCGGCCCAAGCGCGCCCAGCAGCGTATTGGCCTGCGCATGCTCGCCCGTTCGCTTCCGATGGCGTGCGCGTGCTCGCCTTGTCACCTCCGATGGTCTTCTGAGGCCTCGGTCTGGCCCCAGGATGGCCCAGTACAGCCCCAAGGGGGGCCAGGTATGGCCCCGAGGGCGGCCCCAGTGCGCGCCGCAGCGCCCCCAGAGGCGCCTGTGGGCTCCAGCGCAGGAGCACCGTGAGGCTGCCGGCTCCTCGGGTCAAGGCCCCAAGTCATCGGACCACAGCCTTTCGCTCAGAGGTTCCCTCGGGGGCATGCTCGGGTCCAGCACGGCGCCGAGATGGCCCCAGCAAGCCCAAGGCGCCCCTCCAATGCAGTGGAGGCCAGTCCACGAGAAACCTTCCACATGAAACCCAACCCTGAGACCCCAGGACGTCCACTGGTTTCTGGTGTGGCAGCGTCACGCTTTCCGTCGCAAGACAAGGGGGGCCCAAGAGACCCAGGGCACCCTGGAGGCAAGCGAGCCCCACTGTGAACGCCGACCACCCTCCTTCCGTGTAAGTGTTCGATGGCTGAAAAGACGCTGGGCGCCCGAGTTATCCGGGGTAACTCGGGTCCGGGGTAACTCGGGTTTGGATTCCCGGAAAAAGGAACCCGGGTTAGCCCTGACCCGAGTTACCCCTGATGATGTGGGGCTCTGGACGCCCGAATTGTCCGGAGTAACTCGGGCCCAGGGTAACTCGGGTTCGGATTCCCGAAAAACGAACCCGAGTTAACCCTGACCCGAGTTACCCCTGATGATTCGGGGCTCTGAAGACGGGTGTGCGCGGCGCGAAGGAAAGTGCCCCATGCTGGATGCGAGTCGCCCTCCATCCGTGCACTCACCGTAAACAATGGGAAAATAGCAAAGCGAAACGCCAAGGCCCCGCGCGACACAGCTGGTGATGCGGCAGGGAGGAGCTGCTGATCACGATGATGGGTGGAAGAAGGGGGAACGAAGAGGAGGAGGAGGAGGAGGAGGAGGAGGAGGAGGAAACGGAGGAGCAGGAGGAAGGCGCTCGCTTCAGCATGTGGGCCCGAAGAGGGAAGATGCCCCGTTGGAGCCGAGCGGAGAGAAGGGGCCAACCCTGCAGGCTCAGTCAAACAACGCGTCGTTGAGCGGTGCAGCCTCCCCTGAGGACAGGCCCCCCCCCAGAGCCTCAGCGAGACAAGTCCGGCTCAGCAGAAGGAGGCAGGATGATGAGTAGGAGCAGGAGGAAGGAGGAGGATGGGGGGAGGAGGAGGAGGAGGAGGAGGAGGAGGAGGAGGAGGAGGAGGAGGAGGAGGAGGAGGAGGAGGGGGAGGGAGAGAGGGACCAGACCTGTCCCTGGAGTGCAGGGTGAGTCTCCTGGAGGACTCGGAAAAACGCTGTCTTGGCCGCCATCGCGCGGCGGCCCAGCGGAACGCGGGCCCGAGGCCAGAGCTTATCCATCCCGCCGCCTCAAAGCCAAGGGCGAGGCTCGGGAGGAGGGGCGGGTCTCGCCCTCCTCCTCGTACTCCTCCTCCTCATCCTCCTCCTCCTCCTCTTCCTCCTTATCCTCTTCCTCCCCCCCATTCTCCAGTCTGTCCATCCACCTCCTCCTCGGGACCAAATTGTAGGAGGTGTCATGTGCTGCCATCAGGTGCAGCCTCAGGCTCCGACGTCTGCAAATGTGCCAGCAAACGTGCTGCCTCACGTGAGCTTGAACCCACAGCGGGTAAGCCATCCAGCGTAGTGCCATCCATTTGCGTGTAGGACCCAGTAGGCATAATCCTAGCCCAATGCACCTCTTCCCCTCGTTCTTGGGGCTGGTGGGCCGGCGAAACACCCACGCGGCGCTGGGGAGAACCTGCGCCCTCTTAAATCTACCCTGGGACAGGGGGCTAAACGTAGCACCACCGCAGCAGCCCAGGAGGCCCACCTGCCTCCGCCAGGGTGTGCGGAGGCTCGCTGGGTCGTCCTACCCGGCCCAAGCGGCCTGCGGGGCACCCGCTGGCACCCGTAGTCCTACCTGGCCCAAGATAGCTGGGCACTCGTGCTCAATTCGCGGCAGCACCACCACGACTGGCGTCGGGGGCGGTGCGCCAAGTCCCAGACTTCATGGGAGGCGGATGGCAAGGGCGGCCTGCCTGGCTGGTCTCGCAATCCGGAAGCCAGGGCGGGGCGCGAGCAAGGGAAATCGCGGGCGCGCTTGGCGCTGGGTGGAGGGCAGGACGCCGTGAACATACCCCGCGCGCGCGCCTTCGGGCAGTTTTTGCGTCGAGGGTCTCTCCACCCCGCATTCGAACAAGGGGACAGCGACACCACCACCACCACCACCACCACCACCACCACCACCACCACCACCACCACGGACCACAAGCGGGATGAGCCAAGAGGGGTCCCCCTGGTGGTGTGGCCCCCTTCTCTCTCGCCGAGACGCCTCCTAACGCCAGCTAGGGGATGCATCGTGGACCTCCTCGCTGGAGGTGGACCCCCAAGTGAGGGTGGCGTCGCTGTTCCGCCGCCCGAACCGAGTGGCCATGCAGAGGTCGTGTTCCGCGCTCTTTCCCGTCAGGCCTTACTGGTGTTGCTGCGGGCCGAAGCCGCAGCCGGCCGTGGCGGGGGCGCCCCCGTGGTGCACGGGGCAGCTGCGTGTGCCTGGAGACGATGGCATACGGGATGCGACGATATATCGTATTGGGCCCTGCCCTCCGACCCTTCCTCCTCCTGAGACGCTGAGACGCTGATGGCACTGGTGTTACTTGAACGCTGCGACTCCACCGATTAATGTCTGGTCGGGCTTCTCTGGGTAAGTAGACAGAACTACAACAAAACTTGGGGCCGAGGTCCCGCAGAAGAGGAGGGAGGGGAAAGAAGGAGACACATCATCATCATCATCATCATCATCATCATCATCATCATCATCAGCATCATCATCAGCAGCAGCATCATCAGCATCATCAGCAGCAGCATCAGCATCATCATCAGCATCATCCTCATCCTCATCATCATCATCATCATCATCTTCATCACCATCACCATCACCATCATCATCATCATCATCATCATCATCATCATCATCATCATCAGCATCAGCATCATCATCATCATCATCATCATCATCCTCATCATCACCATCGTCTCACAACTTCAGGAGGACAGACACGGGATATATCAGATGCTGATCAGATTGAGGTCCTTGCTTTGAGGCGGGGAAAATGGGAAGAGGCGGCGATGCCAGCTCACCCTGGGCGGGTCTAGAGTCGCAGGGTCAAGGACTTGGACGTTGCAAAAACTGAGAAAGCGGCGCTTGCAAGTGGCATGCTTGTTGAGAGGGGGCTGTGGTTGAAAGTGGCGTGGCAGTTGAAAGCGGGCCGCGGTGGCAAGACCATTCTGCGGGGCCTCTTCGGACGCCACCCAATGAGGGGGAGGCCCAAGGTCGCCTCCCTCTGCTCATAGAAATCCCCTACAGGCGTCTCAGAGGCCGATTGCGGGATCCCTCGCCTGCACGCAGGCCTAAGGTTCATGGCAAGTCGGCCACTGGGCCGCTTTGGAGGTTTCCACCGAGCGCGCGGGAGTTGTGCGCCCGCCCCGTTAGGCTCTGCGGCGGCGGCGCCGGCCACGCTCGCCAAATGTGGATGGCAGAGAGGCCTCACCTCCTGAGCATAAGAAGCACCTCTAAGCAGCCACCATCCAAATGACTGATACCCGCCCCCGCCGAGGCAGGAGCAGAGCACCCAGACCGCGGGGGCGGTGGCTGCTCGGGAGTCGTACACCGCGCTCGGGAAGTGGTATCTGCAGTCCGCGGCGGTGGCCTGCGCGGTGGAAGTTGGACGTCGATCTTGCTGCGGCAGGCGTTCTGTTGCAGCGAGCGGCCGTGGAGCGTGACTGCTGCTGAAGATGCAAGGGGGATGGAGGGAGACTGCGGGGTCCGCTGGTGCCGCCGCCGCCCCGGCCCTTGCCAGGGTGGCCGTCGGCGGGCCCCCCCTTCCCCTCCACCGCATAAGGCTTCACCCATACCCCACCAAAATAGGAAGGTGTAGAGGAGGTTAACCCCAGGAAGCATTTAAGAACCCCCCCGGCGATATCGTAGCACCGCATTTTTTATTCGATATTCCGAAGGGCCGAAATAACCGAACGATAGCTGTCGCACCCGGACACGATGATGATGATGACGATGATGATGATGATGATGATGATGATGATGATGATGAGGATGAGGATGAGGATGAGGATGAGGATGATGATGATGATGATGATGATGATGATGATGATGATGATGATGATGATGATGCGGATATGGATGATGGTGCGGAAGGGTTATCGATTTGCCGGAGGGGGGGGTTCTTAAATGCTTCCTGGGGTTAATTGGGCACGGCGGGGGGGGCCGTGGATGCGAGAAGGTGGGCCAGGAGGAAAGGAAGGTTGGAGGTTGGTGGAGATCTGTGGCTCACTTGCAAGCGCGTGAGTGATCGCGATGACCACTGATGTTCACGCCGCATCGTGCAACCAGTGCCACCGATGCCCGCGCTGTAGAATAATGCCGCATAGAGGGTGTGATCCCATACCACCAGCTGCGCCGCTCCCGTCATCATACGGTGGGCGCGCACGTGTCGGCAGGATACTAATGCAGGGATTGGAATGGGCATGTAGCAGCCGGCGGTCCTGTCTACTGCAAGCGCGAAGTAGGTCGGTGAGGACATAGCGCGCTGACTGGCCGACGTTAGGCCGGTCTGGTGGCGAGGGTTGCCTCCCGTCGTGGGCGATCAGGGGGGTGTCTTCTTATTCGCAGTGGGTGGGGCGTGCTGGTCGGGCTGGTTGGCTTTGACGGCGTCTGTATAGGTTCGCCCTGTTCTCAAACGGTCGGGCCCGTAGCGTGGGAAGACCTCCTAGGCTGTCTTCTGCCGGTTGCCGCGGTGGATGATGCCGTGCTGTCCGCATGTGGGCAAGGACGCTGCAGGCTTCCATTCGCGGGGCGTGTGGGATACATCCCGCTTTGTGTTGAGGACCGTGATCACGCTGCGGATCGTAGCAGCCATGTTTGAGTCGTCGATGGCATGCTGCTGAATCTGGTATTGGTGCTGTGCGGTGCTGCTCCCTTCGGTTTTGCCCGCGGTGGTCGTGGCCCACTGGGGCTGCACCAAGTTTGCGTTGCTGGTCTGCTCAAATGCCTTCGGTCCTGACGTGGGAGGCCGTTGGTCCAGGCATCCGAGTGGGAGTGGCGCAGTCCCAGGGTGCGCCTTGGTAGGTTGCAGCAGGTCGAAAACGGTCGGTGGGTCGAGTGTCGGCCGTCGATTCTGCCGATGCTGTAGCTCGTCCTCGGGCAAGGGGGTCTGGTTGCTGACGAGCTCGGCCATCTTGACCAGCGCCTCGATTGCGATTTCTGTAAATTCGGTGACAAGGAATGGCGTCGGCGTGCATGTGGGCTTGTGTCGTACGGCCACCCTGATACCCATGAGGATGACTCTCTTCTGCCGCACCACCTCTCAACTTGCTCCAGGATGTCGTCGTGGCCGTGGCGTTTCGGGTCGTTCAACATGTTAGCCAGATAGTGGTTGGCATACTTGGATAGGTCCTTTTGTCGCTGATTCGCGTGGAACGGCCGTACGCCCCGCAGCTCGTAGGATAAGGCGTAGCTGCTGAGAGCTCCCTCTACGTTCGCCATGACCTGGTCGTACTCGATGCGGAGGTTTGCGTCTGTTGCATGCCCCTGTTTGGCCTCTACTCTTCGGTCAGGTCGAGCGTCTAGTCGTAGTGGTAGGCGATCGCCTCATGGTTATATATACATATATACAGTTGACATCACGTGCTCGCGGGCGTATACCCCGATGCTGATCATGACGGTCAGGCGCTCGATGATATCGTGTATGCGACCTTTGGTCTTCAGCCCTGCTCTCATGTGTTGGCGGCAGTGGAGGCGGAGTCATTTTGCGAGCTCGATGGCCGAGTCACGATTGCGCTTGGTGTCGTCGTTGGCCTGCGGGGTCATTGCGCCCCGACTCGTCGTGGTTTGCCTCGCTGCTGTCCCCTGGTTGCTATCTAGGGAAACGAACTCTATACACCGACGCTTTTTCCGACCCTGCGCTGAAATTCGCACAGGAACGCGGGTCCTGGTGTATACGGGATCCTGATGAATACATGTTTCGTTGTTTCCCTGGGAAAACGGAGGAAAGTATACACCATACCACCCCGACGCCGTCCCCGACCCTCAAAAAGTCGTGGGATTGAAACAACAACCCGCTATTGGTAATGTATAAGTTCCAGTTTGCGACTATCGTTCTTGTGCGTGGTGTCGGGGGTGGTTCTGCTGGCACCTCCTGCCATGGCCGAGGAGTGCTTGGCGGCTTGCCTCGCGGCCGCATGCTGCCCCCTGCAGCGGTGGGTTGCACGATGGGCGAACTTAGTCGTCAGTGTAGCTGGTGTCATTCGTATGACCTGATTCGATGCAACTTGGCTTTACC